TAGACTACATTTCTCTGAAGACTTTTCCCAAGACATATCTCGATGTGAAAGGGAGAAAAGTTCTCTTTTTTCCCCTATTTTATACCTTTTCACTTTTTTTAAACATCTTCATTGAAGCTGTCAGAAAGGCTCTCAAATATGAGCGATGAGTTTTGTGGAGAAAAAAAATGTTTCACCAAGGATTTTGTCTCATCGTGTTTACATATGCTATTTTATGATTCTACAAGTTGCTACTACTTAAGTGAAAGAAAAGAGAGTTTGGTTGTGATTATGCTTTTATAAGATAAAATCAATATACATGTTCATGGTAGAAATTTCAGAAATATGGAAAGGAAAAAGATGAAACAAATTACCAATAATTTCACAAATATTGGAAAACCACTGATACTATTGTGATTCCTTTCTAAGGATTGTGTAAAAACTTCATATATTTATATTTATTATTAGGGATACTGAGTTTTTAATTTTTTTATCTTTGTGTCTCAGTCTCAATAAGTATAATGGTTAATACAATTGCACTATTACACAGAACAGGTTACACATAAATTATTTATGTGGACTATCTCAATTGATTTCTGATCTTTTGTTAATGCATTAACTATAATAAATATTCTTTGTATAGAGGTTTTTCTACTTTATTTTGGATAAATTCCCAGAGGAGAATTACTGAGTAAAATGGCCTTCATTTTTCAAGTTCTAAATGCACAAACAATATGAACTTTCAAAATTGAATATGACTCTCATTAGTGGAAACCCTCTTTCCCCACTTTCCCTCTCTCCTTCCTTCCCTCTCTTTTTTTCCACCTTCCCCTTTTTTCTTCCTTCCATCAGAATAAACGAGGGTCATTGTTTCCCTAGGAGGGTCACTGCTTCCCCATGAAAGGACCATGCTATCCCTGTGGGATATAATGGAATATAATGCTGTCACCGACTGCTAAGTGTATGATAGGATTATTGCCATGGTGACGGCTAAGTGCATGACAGAAACATCACCATGGTGCCATAAAGCATGCTGCAATCTGGAAATTCCTTGAAATTCCACAGCAAGATCATTTCTGGTTTCAGCGTGAATTCCATTTATGAATTCTACCAGTGTCATGGTGCTTTCTCATCATGACTCTTCCATTTATCAGGGGCATAGCTTATTGAAATATGAGAGTTAAATTTGTTGCATGTCCCATATCAGGTTCTGTGTTCAGGACTTTGTGTGCATGTCTTCATTCAATGGATGCAAAAGTGCCATATGGAAGATACCAGTATTTTGTTCTCATTTTAAAGATGGAAAAACAAAAAATCAGAGATTTTAATTGTCCTGGGTCATGCTTCTATTTTAGGATGACATGCTTCTATTTTAGGAAAGGAGGCAACTTGTTGCATTTTCATAATAATTTCGGCCTCCACTGGGGTGGCTTGAAACATCAAGATGTCTAGGACAGTTTCATTGGGCCAGATGTTTCGGGCCTTTGTTCTGGCTGGCTGTTGAGTTCTTCATTTCTTCCTACATACCAGATTGGACATGTCCAACACTGCTTTCTCCTTTACATGTGTGATGTCTGAACAAAGGTGACCATCACCTCCAGGAACGTCCAGGATCTCTCACTGCTCTCTCTCTCTGGTCAGACTTCCTATATGCAACTGGCTAACCCCAGAGTGAAAATTCCAAGAGACTTATGAGGTAGCCTCAGAGGTTACATAGTCTTATTTTGCCATATTCTGTTGGTCAAGAGGGAGTTACAGGCCCAGGCCAAAAAGAAAAGGACAGGGGATCTAGACCCCGCACTTCTTAACTAGAAACACCTCAAGTAATTTGTGACCATTTCAATCCATTATACAAGGTTTGTTGGATCCAAAAACCCTTACTTCACAATACCAACCTTGGGTAAAGACACGGTAGACTATTTCTCAGTGGGGGAGAATTTTCCCAAACTGCCAACATTCCTTATAGAGTGACCACACATAGGTGGAGTTCTGTAGAAAACAGGGGGGATTTGGAGTAGACCCTTATTGCCCCAACTCCATTTTCCATGTTACATTTCCCAAGAGGGAGAAGTGTTAGGTTATTACTTTCAGCTTCTCTAACTGCCTCAGTTCTCTCTCTCTCTCTTCCCCTCTCAATTTCTCTTCTTCCACCAGATGATGGAAAATTGTTTGGTGAGAGCTCAGGAGTGGTTTTAGTCTTTAGCTCCCTCAGGACCTGCCTGCTCTCTTGTCTAAGTTAAGAGTTCTTTCCTTCTCCATGTGGTCAGCCTATGAGGGTGGTGAAAACAGTGGGTGGAGGCCACTTTCTAGATGGAGGCTGCTTAGACTGTGAATTCAAGGAGAAACTTCCACACATCTTCAGATATAAGCCAGCATTTATATTTTAATGTATATGTGGCCTTGTGTCTCTTTTTTAATTGACTTGGAGTCTAGAACTCAGAGTGATGTGGGCAATTGGCCTAGTGCTAACCTCAATCTCTCTTGAGGTGAGACTACTAAAATTGAATGCATTGGGTTTATATTAAATTTTTCCCCATTTTACAAATATAAAAAAACCCATATAATCTTTCATAAATAATAATGTGTCTTTTTAAATTACAGGTTGTTTTACTTGTTCATTTTCATACTATATCATTCAAAATTTCCAGAATGGTGTTGCAAAATTATACTGGTACTGACTTGGTTTTTTTATTATTCTAAATATCAATATTGTTTTACTGATAAGGAGTTAAAAATATATATGTATATATCTTGTTACATAGAAAAGAACCTATATGAGAAATACATTCCCCAATTTAGAAAGGTATGGGCCATTTTTCTTCTTATTACATTTATAACTAGATGAATATTTAGGGGCATGTTTAGAAATTCTAAAGTACTAGAGCAGTGATGGCGAACCTTTTGAGCTCGGCGTGTCAGCATTTTGAAAAACCCTAACTTAACTCTGGTGTCGTGTCACATATAGAAATTTTTTGATATTTACAACCATAGTAAAACAAAGACTTATATTTTTGATATTTATTTTATATATTTAAATGCCATTTAACAAAGAAAAATCAACCAAAAAAATGAGTTCGCGTGTCACCTCTGACACGCGTGTCATAGGTTCGCCATCACTGCCCTAGGTCATGATCCCTCACACTCTCAAGTGCCCCTGACACCAGGGCATCATGGGTTGGCCATGGGGCAGAAGGACAGCTATGTGGGCAACAAGACCCAGAGCAGCATCCTTACCCTGAAATACCTCATGAAGCATAGCATCATCATCAACGGGGATGAAATAGAGAGGATCTGGCATCACACCATCTACAACAGCAGTTCTCAACCTGTAGGTCGCGACCCCTTTGGGGGACGAACGACCCTTTCACAGGGGTCGCCTAAGACCATCCTGCATATCAGATATTTACATTACGATTCATAACAGTAGCAACATTACAGTTATGAAGTAGCAACGAAAATAATTTTATGGTTGGGTCATAACATGAGGAACTGTATTTAAAGGGCCAGAAGGTTAAGAAACACTGCTCTACAACAAGGTGCATGTGTCCCCCAAGAAGCACTCGGTGCTGCTGAATCCCAAGGCCAACCGTGAGAAGACGACTCAGATTATGTTCGAGACCTTCAACATCTGGGCCACGTATGTAGCCAGCCAGGCTGTGCTGTTCCTGTGTGCCTCTGGCCACACCACTGGTATTGTTATGGACTCCTGGGATAGGGTCACCCACACTGTGCCCAGCTACGAGGGCTACACCCTGCCCCACGCCATCCTGTGTCTGGACCTGGCTGGCCAGAACCTGACCCACGACTTCATGAAGATCCCCAGGAGCGCGGCTTCACCACCACCGTGAGCAGGAAATCGTGTGTGACATCAAGGAGAAGCTGTGCTATGTTGCCCTGGACTTCCAGCAGGCCATGGACACCACCAGAGTGCAAGTTCTGGATATGGACTGGTGGCTCCATCATGGCCTTGTTGTCCACCTTCAGCAGATGTGCATCAGCAAGCAGGAGCATGACTAGGTGGGCCCCTCCAACGTCCTCCGCAAATGCTTCTAAATGTGCTGCCAGCAGACCAGTAGCATTTGCTGCGTGAGCTGATCAAGTCTGAGTTTGATATATACACCTGGCAAATGTGTGTACTGCATGCTGGCCTGGTGAAACTGGGATAAACCTTTGAAAATAAATTGTCCTGAAAGCTTGTATATGATCTCAGCATTGGATGGTAGACCTGATTGCTGACTGTGACCTTGTATTCAAGTTAACTGTTTCTTTGGTACAAGTTTAATGTCTTGTACATATCTTTGATTTAAACCCTGTACATGCAGTCGGTCACTTGGTGGTCAAAACGAGAACATATTTCTGCATGAGAAATCCAGTGGCTTGATGAGAATTGGTGAGATTGCACAATCCCAATGTGTGCAGGGTATTAACACATGGGAGCTGCCTATTCCAGGATTTCTCCAGGGGCTGGCATGATTCCTGAACCAGTTGTCATTTCTGTCCTGCTGGTCTGATGGGGTTGGGGCCAGTCAGAGAAAGGCAAATACCATATGATCTCACTTATATGTGAAACTGAAGGAATAAAATTAACTGGCAAAGAAACAGAACCAGAGGCATGGATACATGTAATAGCTTGACAGCTGTTGGAGAGGAGGAGGGTTGGGGGGCTGGATGAAAGAAGGTGAAGGGATTACGCACAGACACAGACAACAGTATGGTGATAGCCTGAGGAAAAGGGAGGTGAGGATAGGTGGAGATGGGCTACATGGGATCAATGGGGATAGAAAGAGACTTTGCTTGGGGTGATGGGCATCCAACAGGGTGCAGATGATGTTTTGTTGAGTTTACACTTGAAACCTGTATGGTTTTGTGATCCAATATCACACCAGGACATCCAATAAGACAAACAAAACAAACAAATGTCCAGGAACCAGCCAATGAGGTAGCGTCAAAGGTCTGGTCTCCAGAGGTTGAGCTGGCCCTGCACAGTCTTCCTGGAGGTGGATCAGAGACAGAGAGAAGCAGCCAGGCTGAGGCCATCCTGGACATTTGGCTTTTGTGGTGACAGGTAAGTGGACATGGGTGTAAGGACAGTGCTTTGAGTGGAGCCTGGAGCCCCCAGTCCTCCTGTGGCACTCGAGGCAGGGCCAGTGTTGATGTTTGCTCTTATGCCACCTCAGGAGCCTAGACATTTGCAATCAAGGGGGAAGGAGCATTTGCTGAAAGCTGTGCTTGGGACATAGGATCCCTGCCAAGTACTAGTATGCGCCCTGGCAGAGAGAACAAATGGTAGGGGACACATGCTCTGCTGCACAGGTGTCACTTGGAGCTGAAAAGAGAGCCAGGAAAAAAGGGAAAGAGCGTGGAGGGGAGGGTACTTTATATACCAGAGCTTTGTATATGTTGTTTTAGCAGATTCTCAAACCAACCTCAGAAGGTACGTTTTTATTTTACTCTGTGGTACAGATGAAGAAACGGAGGCTCAGAGAGGTTAGGTGACATGTCCAAGGTCACACCACTAGAAAGGAATGGAGCCAGGATCAAATGCAGTTCTTTCTGCTCCTCTACCTTCTCCCAGGGGCTGTGACCTACTTCCTCGGGCAGCAGCAGAAAGACGAGCTCTTGAGAAGGGTCTCTCTTGTTCTTGGAGGTGGGAAAGATGAGGGTCTTCACATGGCTTCTTCTCTCTTCCTCAGGGTTCTCTCTGGTGGACTTTGAGACTCAGACACACAGGTCTTCCATGGCTCCTTACCACATCCGCAAATACCAGGAGAGCGACCACCCCTGGGTCCTGGGCTTGCTCTCCCAGGGCATGGCTGAGCATGTACCCCGAACCTTCTTCCACCTCCTGAAGCTGCCGAGAACACTTGTGCTCTGGCTTGGGGGGGCCCTCGCCCTGTTTCTGGTCTCTGGTTCCTGGCTCCTGGTCCTCGTGGCCAGCCTCACCCTGCTCATCGCCCTGAGGTTCCTTGCTCAATACCCCTGGAGCCAGTTTGTGGCCAATAGTCTGCACACAGACATGTCTGACATCAGCAAATCCTACCTCAGTGAGCCGGGCTCCTGCTTCTGGGTGGCTGAGTGCGAGGGGCAGGTGGTGGCCATGGTGGCAGCTCTGCCCGCTGAGGAGCCCACTGCGCGGAAGGAGCAGTTGCAGATGCTCCACTTAAGTGTGGCCTTGGAGCACCGGCGCCGGGGGCTAGCGAAGGCCCTGGTCAGGACTGTCCTCCAGTTTGCAGCACACCAGGGCTACAGAGAAGTTGTCCTCACCACCAGCATGATGCAGCATGCCGCCCTGGCCCTCTACCAGCACCTTGGCTTCCAGACCACCCGCCAGTACTTCTTCACCAAGAGCTGGGCGCTAATCGCTGTCCCTGAATTTCAATTAACCTACTGGCTGCCCTCTGCTCAGGACTCTCAGGCACCAGGGCAGAGAGAGGGCCTATGATCTGTTTCCTGATTAGTCAGGACGGCCCTGCAGCAGTAACAAGCGAGCCCTGAGATCTCACTATGACAGTACAGGAAGTTTGTTTGTTAGCATGGAAACCCCACGGGGATGGCCATGGCTCTGCCCCTTTCAGCCTTTTTATGTTGTCACTGTTGCATTTATTTAGTGACACAAGAGTATTGCATAAAATCAATCACAAACGAATAATAAACATTTACTTAGCTATTCATATAGGAACATGCCCTGCCTCTTTTAAAATAGTGAGACATTTGCTTAAAATTTTAAACATAATATAATATGGGATAATTGAGGATAAAATTATAATGAAGGTAATCTAAAAGTAGCTGAGGTTATAAATACCATCAGCTCCCTGATATAAATGGATTGCGTGTTCCATTTTGTCCTTGACAGAAAGAAAAGCAAAGGAAGCTTATTGTTTTCATTGCTTGACTGAGGGAGATGTTGGAATGGAGTTGCTCTTTTGTTCTATGCAAGTGAATAGAAAATAATACCTCTTATGCGCTCTAGGCATTATAAAAAGTTGTAGACTGCTCAATAAGCAACTGTATGCTTTAAAATTTAATTATCAATTAATAATCTTAAAAAATCTTGGGTGAGAATCCTTTAAAATATTCAGATTTATGACTTTAAGAGAATAAAAAAAACCTCAAATGCAATTTGTACTCAACTTCAATCCTAATCACTGATTTAATATTATTACCATGGATTTGGACAAGTTTTATGCAAGGTTATATACCAGGTCAAACTCTGAGGAACCAAGGTAAAGCTAACTTATTCAGGGAAATGTGGTGATGTATCTGATCCCCTTCCTCCACAGGCAGAAATCTTTTTGCAGATTACAAATTATCTATGTTTAACTTCTAAGGATGAACACCTACAATCTCTAGCATTTTAAAAAGGCATCTACCACTACCCCTTTGTCATTGAGACGGATTTTTGTCTTTGTCACTTGCTTGATCAATGCTGTTCATAATGTTAATGAGAGATTATCTTCCTCCCACAAATATTTTCCAGGGTTTACCAAGTACTATCCATTACCTGATTATGTATTCCATCAGTCTTTTGGGAGTAAAAGTGCAGGTAAGGAACCCACATGTAACTGCCCAGACAAAGCAAGGAGGCTCATGAGGAGCAGAGAGGTTCCTGGAGGAAAGGTATTAGATATGCAGGTAGTAGTAATGGGTCATGATTTAGCAGGTCTTGTTGACATAAAGTTGGTCTGTAACAGCTGGACTGCAAGATTCTCTCTCAAGTTTGTAATGTTCTCACAGATTCACATCCTTTGCATTATTCCTTGGCCCCAGACTTACTTTCTAACATGAACTAGCTGTTTTACAAAGTAGGCACCCTCTGAGTGGGTAACCTCAAGTATGTATATCTGCACACACCCATTTTCACAATCGGAAAACACAGGGTCTTCTGATTATGCTGGATTAAAGTCATCCTGTATCAGTATCTCTAATCATTGAGAGGGTGTGTTTTTTTTCTCAGTCTGCTTTTTTTTTTCTTCATTTCTCAGCTATTACTATCACTGGCCTCTGTAAACATTTATTTGGCTTTCCATGTATGTTACATAATGTACATTTCATTGTTCTGATGAACTTTCGCCAATGTTGAGAAGGACATGTTTCACATACATTTAAGTGCTTGAATGTGTAGCTTATAATGTATGGTAAAAAAAAAAAAGTACATTCATATAATACCACCTCTATAGGTACAGGAGGGAAGGATGCTATGGAAACTGGTAGACATTTAAATGGTGGTGGTGGTCATAGCACCTTACATTATTTCAAGGGTTATTTTGTGTCAGATTCTGTGGTGAGCACTTACAAGATAGCCTTTTAAGGTTACTGATCTTTTTAATCATCCTTTTACAAAATGAAGACAAGAAGGCAGAGACCAAGTACCCTTTCCAAGGCACTAAAAAGTTTGAGCTTGCAACGATCATGGATCTGTTTGGCTCCGAGGCCTGATGTTCTAATCCCCCCTCCACCCTGGCAATACCAGTCTTGCCCAATATTTCCTTATGTTATAAAATGGATGTGGAAAGAGAAGTCCAAATATAATACACATCTCTGACAAAGCATGTAGGCTGCGCACTCACTTACATATTGGTGATGCGCCATAACCAAATTGAAGATGTGAGCCTACCATATACTTCCTCTTCAGAAAGAAAAGCAAACCTCCTCCCAGTCATTTGTTTTGGCTGCTGTCCCTTTCTTTCCTTTCCTGGTTCACCAACCCCTCTTCCATGCCACATCCTCTTATTATTTGCTTCTACACACCCCCTCAGATGCCTGGATGCAGTAGAGACCCTGCAGAACTTCTCAAATAGGTGCCCTCACTAACCTGCGAGGCCTCTCCTTTTATCCCAGGGGTCCTCAAACTACGGCCCACGGGCCACATGCAAATACAAATATTGTATTTGTTCCCGTTTTGTTTTTTTACTTCAACATAATATATGTGCAGTGTGCATAGGAATTTGTTCATAGTTTGTTTTTTTTTAAACTATAGTCCGGCCCTCCAAAGGTCTGAGGGACAGTGAACTGGCCCCCTGTTTAAAAAGTTTGAGGACCCCTGTTTTATCCTCTAGAGCAGTGATGGCAAACCTTTTGAGCTCGGCGTGTCAGCATTTTGAAAAACCCTAACTTAACTCTGGTGCCATGTCACATATAGAAATTTTTTGATATTTGCAACCATAGTAAAAGACTTATATTTTTGATATTTATTTTATATATTTAAATGCCATTTAACAAAGAAAAATCAACCAAAAAAATGAGTTTGCGTGTCACCTCTGTCATAACAGTAGCAAAATTACAGTTATGAAGTAGCAATGAAAATAATTTTATGGTTGGGGGTCACCACAACATGAGGAACTGTATTAAAGGGCCGCGGCGTTAGGAAGGTTGAGAACCACTGCTCTAGACAATGTCAAAAAATAAGCAGGACTGATGGCTGGATTCAGGGAACATAAAAATAGCACCAGTCTCTATCCCCTTTCTTTCGTTTTGAGAAAAAAAAAGTATCTGAAATCCTTATTCTGAAACATTTAAAGTAGACTTACATCCACAGTGAGAACCCAGCTTGGCTTGCTATGTGAATAAATGAAAGGTATGCCACATGTCTTACAGGAAGAAAACCTGTCACTGCTGCAATCGCTCTTTGAATCTATGGAGCAAATGACCTCTTTAAGCAAAGCTTCGGATTCCCCAACGCGAAGTGCTCCCTTGGGGGAGCAGTCCTCACAGTCCCCGACGTGACGAAGTGACTTCCCCACAGATCTGCCCATGTGGGAGGGCGACAAGTGATTTAATTACTGAATAGGCTCTCCTTCCCGAAGGTGTCTTTGGGAGATTATATGAAACAAGTCTCTTCACATTTATTCCTGAAAGTGTCAGTGCTGCACATCTTTTCATTATTTTCACACATAAATCAAGAAATGTATTTATTTGGGTAAGATCCTGGCAGCTTTGTCTTTCTTTCTTAAAAAAAAAATAAGAACAACACAACTCTGTTGCTAGTTTCCTTTGGGGGGAAACACCTGCCAATCATTTTTAGAGCCAAGTTCACCTGCTTGTGAGCAGAAAGTGTGGTTATTCTTCCTAATTGAATACCTGTTTCCTCCAGTACTTCTTGGTGCTCTAGGTGACTCTTTGGTCTATCTTTCTCCCTTCCCTCCTCTATGGGCTTTCTCTCTCATTCCTCCCTCTCTCATTTTTTTTCTTTCTTTCTCCATTCAACAAATTTATTATATGTATACTAGAGGCCTGGTGCACGAAAATTCATGCACTGCAGGAGGGGGTCCTCAGCCCAGCCTGCCCCCTCTCACAGTCCAGGAGCCCTCAGGGAATGTCCTAAGCCACAGTCTGGCCACCCTCTGCGGGCGGCGACCAGCCAATCAGGGGAAGGCACCGCCCCCATTACCCCCTCACTGCTGCTGCCTCTGCCAGCCACCTGAACCCCAGGCCTCCCAGCTGCAGGGCCTCACAGCTGCCTGAGCCCAAGGCTGCCTGAGCCCTGGGCCTTGTAGCCACCATCATGCCTGCCTCCCCTTGGCCCTCGCAGCCACTGTGGCTTTATCCAGAAGGATGTCCGGAAGACATCTGCTCTAATTAGCATATTACCCTTGTATTAGTATAGATGCTAATCCCAAAGCTGGAGAGTATATTTGATATACTAATCATAACCCATGTAAAAGGCAGATTCTGCCTAGCCAACTCGGCTCAGGGATGAAGCATTGATTGACCTATGAACCAGGAGGTCACAGTTCAATTCACCGTCAGGGCACATGCCTGGGTTGTGGTCTCGATCCCCAGTAGGGGGAGTGCAGGAGGCAGCTGATCAATGATTCTCTCTCATCATTGATGCTTCCATCTTTCCCTCTTCCTTCCTCTCTGAAATCAATACAAATATATTTTAAAATAAAATAAATAAAAGGCAAATTACATGCATTTATGTTATCTTGTATTTAACTTACACAACAACTGTATGCGGTCAGTACTAATATTATTCCGATGTAAAGATAAGGAAATGGAAACATTAAGACATTTAATAAGTTGTCTGTGTTCACATGGCCGAGAAGAAACAGAATGAGGACATGAAGCCCGGATTGAGCCACTGACACCATGCTATTTGGCTAGTACAGATGCTCCTTGATTTTCAATGGGGTTACATCCTGGTAAATACTGCATGTCAAAAATGTATGTATGGCCCTAGCCGGCTTAGCTCAGTGGATAGAGCGTCAGCCTGCGGACTGAAGGGTCCCAGGTTCGATTCCGGCCAAGGGCACATGCCTGGGTTGCGGGCTCAATCTCCAGTGGGGTGCGTGCAGGAGGCAACCAATCAATGATTCTCTCTCATCATTGATGTTTCTATCTCTCTCTCTCTCCTTCTCCCTTCCTCTCTGAAACCAATAAAGAAATATATTTAAAAAAAAATGTATGTATGTATTAATACACCTAACATTACCAAACATCATTGCTTAGCCTAGCCTCGCCTCCCTCAATGTGCTCAGAACTCTTGCATTAATTAGCCTGCCACTGGGCAAACTCATCTCATGCAAAGGCTATATTATAATAAAGTGCTGAAAATCTCATGTAATTTATTGAAAACAGTATCCAAAAAATGTTGGCAACATAGCACCCTGTGGAGTACCAGTTATTTACCCTCATGATCACCGGATGCCTGGGAGCTGTGCTCACTGCCACTGCCCAGCAGCCAGAGCATCTCCTACCACATACATTAGTGGGAAAAGAT